AAATGCTCGTTCACATCAAGCACGTCAATTTGCGTACACGTAACAGCACCGCACGTTCATGACAGCATGGTAATGGTTTGTTGTTATCATGGATTTGAAACGAGGCGGCAGTTAGCAGCTAGCGGCTAGCTAGTAATTATGCTAATGTGACATAAATCGTTATGTACTTATATTACGCTGTAACAGGATCTAGTGATATCCAAGCAACAGAGCTTCATTTAGCATGAAAGAATGATTGCACTGTATATATATATATATACTTAAAATAATAAGTAATATTAACTTTATTTAATACAACATTTACGCTACAAGATTTAATCATACAGCCCATGTAGTATGATAATGAATTACAGCAAACATGTGCAATATATCCATTATTACAGCTCCGTGGGGTGGCAGTAAGACGATATGGGTCCGTTCTTATTGTGCATCCATGGGTAAAGATAAACGCAACTCACATTGGTTCCTCAAACAGCATCTCTGTAAACTACGTGTATTCACTGAATTTCACTCTCTGCCTTTAACGGCTCGTTGTAGCTCCAATAGCTCCAGCCCCACCCTCCCTGTGAGCACAGTGTGCTCTGATTGGTCGGGACACGTAACATGAACGTGCCGGGCGGCGCGGTCCCTTGGGTTAGATGCGCGTTCATAATGCAGAGGGAAATAACTCTCAGAATAACGTTATTAGCACATTATTACAACTTGAGGAACGAATGTTTTTAATAAGGGCTATACAAGTGTTCATACTGGGTAGTTTATTTAGTTTAAAAAAAATTATCCAACGATTTACAGACCACTCTTTCCCAATGTAAGTCAATGGGAAAAAGTGTTTCCGGGCCTGGCAACCAAACGGAAGTGTAGTACCGCCGTTTGGCCAGCGCGAATATTTTCATCTGAGTCTGGCGCACTTCCTGGGGGCTTGGCTGCTGTGGGGAAACTATGGAAACTACAGTTTTCTACACAGCGGACTACAACATGGATGTTCAATAAGAACGAGGGACTACTGTAAACTCATCTAGAGACTCTGCACCGTGCTCTGATGCTGTTGCTTTATGCTTTATGAACGTGGACAACAGAGAAACATATTCTTCATGACCAAAGTTGGAATTTAAATAAAAAAGTGAAACGTATGCTCGTCACCCTCTCCCTCCGGTCCACATTAATACAAATGATCCCAATACGTATGATTGTATGAAAAGATCTTAAAATCAATACAAATGTATTTATTATAAACGTTAGTCCTTAACATCTATCACTGTGTATATCACCATTCAAACATCTTTTAAAAGTTGAACAAACCCCACACAGCTCAGTAAAGACTGTGAGATGTTTACTTTATTTGATCATTTCAGTAAAAACTAACGTTCATATTTCTCTTTTTGATTATAATTCTGATGAACGTTCAAAACAAAGCACTTTGGCAAATTAGCACATACGTTTTAAAAAGCTTAATAAGCACCGTAACTTTCATGATATCATTTCTCCATCATAATCGTTTGTGTCCGTGAACGGCCGACTGTTGTGTGACGTCAAATGCTGCGGCTGCAAGGCATTGTGGGGCAGCATTTTCTCCTCTCCTTTCGGTTAGGGAGGTCCAGTGGTTCCTAAGCTATAAAGGAGGTTATAAAGGAAGTTTGAAACCTTCTTTCCTTTCATTTGGAGAATTGGAACGGCACTTGTCATGGCTGTCACTGACGTACTTCCGGGTCATTTCACTCGGTTAGGAAGGTTCCTAAGCTAAATGGACTATTGGAACGCAACTTTGGGTCCTTCTCACTTCGGTTAAATGGATTCCTTGCGTCCCTCACTTGCGTTGTTTCCCTGCGACTAGTCCCTCCCACCAGGGAAGCATGGAGAGACCCTTATAGTGAAAGTGCATTCGGATTCTCTAAAGTACCGCAGTCTCTTCTCCTAAATCCTTTTGAATTCTCCTATCCACTATCCCTTAACCCCGTGACGTTTCACTCAGAGGTCAAGGAATAGGAGATAGGGTTAGAATTTAGGAGCTGATTTTTGGATTATCGGAACGCAACCCTAGTGCTTCGAAGCTTGCTTCAAATCACGTGACATATGACGTCCGAAGCAGCAACTGCTTCAAATCACGTGACATGTGACGTCCGAAGCAGCAACTGCTTCATTTCCTGAATGAATCACTTGACTGGTTCGTGGTCCATTCACTGCCTCGTCTCGATTATGACAGGTGACAGGTTGAAACAGTTTCAAATTTGAGTGCTTCAACACTTTATGACCGCTCTAAACAATGCACAGTGTGTGGGTTGTTGTCGTAGTTTGCGTTGTTGCTGTTGAGTTGTTGTTGGTATTATTGCATTTGATATCATTATAGAGCAAGCCAGGAAGAAAGATAGGTCGTTCTGGCTCGGGAAACACTTCGAAATGTGGAGAAGTTGTGAACAAAAAGACAATTATCAGTAATATAAAAACAGTTAAATATTTCAAGGAATAGATAGTCCAGTGGATAGAGCCGGCGGCCCGAATGCGGCGATGTCCTCTGCGCAGCTGGTTCAAAGCCCGGAATGGACGTATTTTAATCATTGCTTTTCAACTTTAATAACTGATAAAAGGCCCTCTCCTCCCAAAAAATGTTCCAGCACTCTCTAGTCTCTTCTCAATAACCCAATACACACAATTATCAATCTTTAATTGCAAATAGAATATGATATTCAGTCTTAGTGTGTGTGTGCATCGAATATTTTTTAAGGCAAAGATACGTTAAACCCACTGCAGCCTTGCACTTCGCCAGGAGAGGTCGCTGTAACTGAAACTTCGAGAAATGAACCTATTTCCGACACAATTGTCCAAGTGGTTCGATGCTTCATTCAAAGCTTCATTTTGCCATCACTAATTATTATTACTACTATTATTATTATTGTTATTATATATGTAATATTTTTCACTTTTCAATGCACCCTTATGCACCCCCGTAGAACCGGGCCTGGGTGAAGTTCTCCCATCGTATATTTACAAGCCACTGTCTTCTTAGGTCGAGTTGGGTTTAGGGTGACCAGATGCCCGCTTCGTGCATGTCTCTCACTGACCAATGGATTCGGATTAAGAAGCTAATCTTGTTTTGGATGAAAAGTCTCTACAAATAAAAATCAATCAAGTTAAGAAGATAAGTAGAATAAAGAAATGCTCATGTAAAGTACTTTCCATTAGATAATTTAGTGAACTAAATTTAATGATGCACATTGCACCATGCACTTCATGTTAAACACTGATGTCTTCAATCACAAATCTGTATTTATTAGATTCATATTTCACCTGTAATCCATGAAAAGTTCACTAAACTGAATGGATTTTTAAGAAAACATGACTCTGATTGGTTGAATACCAAACACATTGTTTCTGTTTTGAACACAAGTCTAATGGCTCATTCAAAGGAAACCATAAATGTTTTGACAGAAGTTTGATTTATTAACACATCTTGCGCGCATGCACACACACACACACACACACACACACACACACACACACACACACACACACACACACACACACACACGACCCGTCTCCTCTCTGTTATAGCATCAGTCAGGGAACAACAGCTTGGGATGCCAGGTTACAGTTTGATAAGGCACATGGTGGGCAAAGAGGGTCAGAGCAGCATTTGTCTGAGGAAATTACACTCGCCCCCCCCCCCCCCCCCCCCAGTTTGTATATTTTGTTTCATTGAAAAGCCTTTCATACAGTATCATGCATATTTAAAACTTTGAACGAAACCAACAGAGGTTTTCATTAGGGATGCACCGAATATTCGGCCACCGAAAATTATCGGCCGAAAATGGTTAAAAAGGCCCTTTCGGCCGAAAGGTTTTTAGCACCGAAAAAATATCACCGAATGTCAGAACAGGCTTACGTTGGTAATCTAACGTGTTGTTGTGATGACGTAATAAAGACGCGGCGACCATGCTCGCGGCTGGCTCACAGGGGGGGGGAACATTGACCTTTGTCATCGAGATTGCCCTGAGCCTTTAACAAATCGTATTAAATAATCTGATGACAGACTGTAAACAGAATAGCTGACATTTTAACAAACTAAATAACTCAGTTACCTCTAATCATTAACCCATGTTTGCATCCTGTAGTTAACTCCGTGTGTTGCTGCTAGCATACATAACACCTGACGTGGAAACGTTACTCGTGGATGGGGCTACAGAGCTGCTAGAAAGACGGTCGAACCCGGTACATTCCTCCGTCTGCATGCGGTGCACTTTTGCTAAATGTTTAGACAAATTGCTCGTGCTTACATGCTAAACTCTTATTGCACTTATGGTAACAAGTATTCTCCACATCGAGACGGGTAAAGTTTAACCACACCTCGGAGCGCGTTCTCTCCGCCATCTCCGCAGTGTGCTCCGCTGCATGTAGCAGCTGCGCGTGTGTAAACTGCCCCGCCCCCTCGCACACAGACGGGGGAGAGAGATCTCGTCTGATCGAAAATACATCATAGACGCATTTGTTGTCTTTGCATATTAGAAACGAGTTGGCGACACTAAGACTGCGATATAATGTTTTTTAGCAATAATACATGACATATATAAATGTACTGTATGCATTCAAAAGTGCTGAATAAATGTTTTATGGACCCATAATAGTGATTATTATTTAAGTTAAGTTTTGCCATAATCATGTCTATTTCCATAATCAGGTAGCTGAACAACATTGGTAAAAAATGTATACATTATATATATATATTTCTATTAATCATTTTCGGCCTTTCGGCATTCGGTTTTCGGCCAACTGTTTCCTATTTTCGGTATCGGTTTCGGCCAAGAATTTCCCATTCGGTGCACCCCTAGTTTTCATAAGGAGGCATATAGGATACTATCATTTGAAGGGAAGAGCTTCCTTGATGTTGGATGAACAAACAAGACTTTAACGTGGTGTATATAAATGAGTATGTATATATAAGTGCAATAGCCTTTACTGCCAAAGTCAAACACCTTCAATCACCAACTTCATTTACAAAGGCAGAGAGGTTTGCATCAATAATAATCACTTTACTAAAGTACATCATTTTACCGGAACATTAGCTAGATCATGAAACAAAACAAATATCACTGTCTGCTATCTACATTCTAAAATAATGTTTTCCCAGTTCCCCAGTAATAATACAGAAAACCCTTCGTCAACAGTATAAACATTTGCACACTACATTGGGACTTGCATTTGAAAAAAAGGGGGCTCCCCTTGCACAAGAGGATCACTTCCTTCTTGTTATAAGTGGAAAGGAAAGTTATGTACTTTATAAAAACAATACAAAAAATGCAGTTTGTGCAAGCTATTTTCCCAGTGAAATCTAATCACCTACATATTGCATCCATCCATCCATCTTCTCCCGCTTATCCGTGGTCGGGTCGCGGAGGTAGCAGTTCCAGCAGAGAGCCCAAACTTTCCTTTCCCTGGCGACATCAACCAGCTCTGACTGGGGGATCCCAAGGCGCTCCCAGGCCAGCGAAGAGATATAATCCCTCCACCTGGTCCTAGGTCTACCCCTTGGTCTCTTCCCAGCTGGACGTGCCTGGAACACCTCCCTAGGGAGGCGCCCAGGTGGCATCCTTACTAGGTGCCCGAACCACCTCAACTGGCTCCTTTCGACGCGAAGGAGGACACATTCATTATTTATATTTTGCTCATTAATTTTTATTATATTTTAATCCTTCAGAGGATCACACCTCTTGTAGTTGTGCCTGGTTTCCACCAATGCCTATGGTTCACAACCATTTATGTTTGTGCCTGGGAAATTCAGCTTGTGTTTGCTTCTGCACCCTTTTCTGGAAAATAGAATCCGAAGTCTGTACATGATTTATAAAACATATTCTTAATTACATTGCAAATTATGAGGGTAGAGACCATTGGCATTGCATCTTACAAATTATCCTTCTTCCTGCAAGCCAGTCATAACACGTTAATATTGCTATCTCTCTAAGAAAAGACCTGGGACCTCCAGGTACAAAGTTTTACACATGCAGTATATCAATTTAAAATGTCTATTGCAGATGTGCTTCCTCTCTGCTACATCCTCAAGAGGAACAATTTATGAGAACCAATGCCGTAGGATAGATGCCATGTTAGTTTTCTGCTATCATACAGGAGGAGCTCTTATTTACATGAGACCCAAAAGAGGTTTGATCACTCCTTTAAAAAAATCTAATGTTTGAAAAGGTGACTGCCGCCTCACAGAAAGCTGTCCTCTGTGGCGACGAAGGAGAACCCATTGAAAGCGTTGTTGGAGCTGCTGCTGCCGTTCAACTCTGGGGTCCGACTCACTGAGTTAGAGACCATTTCTCTTGTGAACTCTGGATCAATGTGCTGAGTGTCAGCTGGGCCTCTCTGAAAGATGAAACAATCTCTGTAACTGATCATAATTATAGTATTGGAGGTGAAGTTTCTATTTTCGATAACAGAACATGTCTGGATGCACTATCACAGTTTTTTCATGGTAACTTAGCAAAGAAAAAGGAGGCTGTATTGTTGCTATGGTTGCATGCACTTTCACATGCTGCACACTGGTTTATTTAGAAGCAAATATGTCTGTTGCCATGGTAATATGAATAAAAGACTAAACCAAGAGCACACAAAGCATAAGTGAGGACAGGAAAAATAATCTGGATGCATTTGACTGATGTTTTTTATGTTGCCCCAAGAAAATAAATGTTTTTAAGTTCACATATGCAGTGATGATTACAAAAAAATATAGCTGAATAAAAAATAAAAAATGTCTAGGTATTTAACTTGAATGGAGAGGATGTTCAAACTGTGAATACATTACATTGCATTTAGCAGACGCTTTTATCCAAAGCGACTTACAATAAGTGCGTTCGACCAACGAATACGCCTCTATTGGGACTGTATGAAACATTATAAGAGGTGAGAGAATTTGACAAAGGAGTTATATATACCCTTACGAAGAGGTTAATCTGACTTTTAACCTGTTTATCTAAAAGAGAAATGGCTGAGATGTAGAAAGGAATTCAAGAGGAGATTTTCTTGGCTGTTGCCACTGAAAAATGTGTTGTGGGGGGAAAAGTTCAGGGGGACGTTAATGATTGTTTTAGAGAGGGTACACAGATGTTTGGAGGGGCAGACTTATTATGTAAAGACAGTAGCAGTTAACAGCCGGAGTCCACTCACCACATTGGGGTTGTAAGGAGGAGTGATCCTCTTGTGGTCAAGGTCGTCCCAGTTGATCGGAGAAAAAAAGACGTGGTTCTTTATTTCTAACTAAAAAGAAAAAAAAAAGAAAGATAAGTTATACATGCGTACTGTACTGGATATCATTTTAGTGACATGTGTTATTCCTCATATTAGGAATCCACATACTCAATTGAGTTTTCTGCAATTATTAATAAGTATGAAGGTGATCTTTGTACATTTTCTCGGAGGGACTGGGTTTAGATCTGTTCTTAGAAAAGATCAAAGCCACTCCACTAAAGCAAGTAGTCCTTCGATAAACAATTTGTATAAAAGTAGGAATAATTGTTTTCTGGAAAACCATCTATTTTAACGTGGAGTGACGTTTTTTATTAACATAATACACTCACAAAGTCGGCGATGGCCCCGAGGCGCCTGTGCTGGTCTTTCTGCAGGAGCCCCTCAAGCAGAGAGCAGACGGCCTCAGACTTCCCAGGAGGCAGCGGCAGCGCCTTGTGGAGGATCCCATCATACATTTCACCCACATCACGGCTGTAGAAAGGAGGCTGAGGGGGAGGGATGGGTACAAGTATCATTAAATGATGAAATGCAATTTAGCATTGTATATATTATATATACATATATATATTATATAGTCAAACTTTCCCTAGATGTGTCCACTTGTAATGAAGCAAGTTAATGAATGGTCATTATTGATAGGACCATGACTTGGGACCATAACTTCAGCCTTTAGCCAAGAAGGCGGCTATACAATGCTTTAATTAGCATCAGTAAGCTAACATGACTATATATTTACAAGATATAGTCATATTTAGCATTTTGTCGACATGAAATGTAATGGCAATTTATCCAACTGTTGATACATTTTAGTGTACACCTACGTGGGACTCAATAGCCAGAGGAATAGCCAGTGAGTCTGCTTAATATTTATGATCCCAAGAGGATAGCTCCTAATATTTATGAGATGCTCTGACCTTTCTTTAGCACCATCACCAGGTAAAACATTATACTTGTACTTGTAGTACTTGTAGTACTAAATGTTGTATATTATGCATGGATTGCCAACTCATTTGTACATGTCTCACTCATTGATTCACTCATTGTTAATATCTGTCTTTGTGAATGTCATTGTGCTTGTAAAAAATGAAAAACTCAATCAAGATATTGTTTTGTTTTTTTAAACTGAAAAAAACGTTGCCCTCAAGATATTCTTGCAACATGAAGATGCTTCAAATCAGCTGCAAAACCCCCCCTCACCAGGCTGTAGATCATCTCATAGATCACTGCTCCCAGACACCACCAGTCCACGGTCCGGTCGTACGCCTCCTTACGAAGAACCTCTGGTGCCAGGTACTGCAGACAGACAGAGCGGGAGTGGCATATTCTCTTTTTACAACAGCTATCCCTTTCAATCCACATTAAATACCTAACCATGTATGACGCACAGTATTGTGTATGACAGATAATTCATATGATGTCCTTTTCCTGTTTACATGTATATTTTTTACGCACTTCTGGAGTCCCACAGAAGGTCGAGGTTGTGCCCTCAGGCTCTACTCCTTCTTTGCACAGCCCAAAATCTGTCAGCACCACATGGCCCTGCACACAACAAACCACATCTATATTTTAGTTACACTCATAATAACAATAAAAACATGGAGGAGTTGAAGATTACAGAAGTAAATGTGTTGTTTTAGACTCACCTGAGAGTCGAAGAGAATATTCTCCGGCTTCAGATCTCTGCAAAGACAATAAAAAGCAGATTGTAATGATTGTAAAAGAGATCCACAGTAAAAACCAAAAGCCTCTAGATAACGATATGACCCAGGACAATTCAATAAATGTGTGTTGTTTCTGACCTGTAAACGATGTTAAGGGAATGAAGATAGCCGATGGCGCTCGCTACCTCGGCCGCATAGAATCTGGCTCTGGGCTCTGAGAAACACCTCTCTCTCTGCAGGTGGAAGAAGAGCTACAGAAAGAGAAATAGGGGTTGATGGACAGTTATGTGTAGTGTTCATTTTTGTCTTTGGTCTGTTATAACGCCTTGTGCGGAATGCTTTGGCAATACTATGTTTAAAATGTGGTCATGCCAATAAAGCCCCTTTGTATTGTATTGTATTGACAGACAGCATGGAGAGGATAGAATACAAGACATTTAAAAACAATAAAATACTTTAAACCAGCTGTCTGGGTAAACATGTTTGTCCACACACAGCAAAGTGTCTGTTGGCTGCTCGCCTGGTAGCTGTGATTTCATTTGATAAGCGTCAATAAAGGATTACCTATTAGGACATTGTTACACTGCAGCCAGCGGAACAATAAGGAAAAACACTTTACACAAACAAAATGTTATGACGTTAAACTAGGTTCACTCCCGTTTGATCACAGTGGGGACTTTTCTGATATGAACAACCCCGTTTTGACGTGCTGTTCCATATAAACAAAGTCGAAAGAGACAAGAACAATCTTTTTTCTTTTTAAATGAATGAAGAAAAATAGATCGAACAATCACTGCTTAATAAAACATTTGAATAAAAGAACAATAATAAAGTAATACCTGTATAACTTCTGAATCACCATTTCTGACCATGTTCGATACAAATAATGTTTTTGTATGTACATACACTGTAGATATTTAGTTTTGGACATACCTCTCCCCCATTCACATAGTCGAGGACAAAGTAGAGCTTCTCTGCGGTTTGGAAGGAGAAGTGGAGCCGAACCAGAAAGGGATGTTTCAGACTCTTCAGCAGCACATTTCTCTCTGCCATAATGTTCTTTTGCTAAAGAGAGGAGATATTAAATACAATCACACAACTACACCAACAGAACACCTATTTGTCTATACCCTGTGTAGTCAAGAGTGATTTGTAATGCCTGTGGGGCTCATTTGTTTGCAGGAAACATTTTAACTGGTCACAAAAAAGCACCCATTTGAATAAATCATCTTTTCCATAAAGCTTCTTTGATGTTATTCTGCTCCGAAGCATTTTAGTAGTGCAGTACAAATAAGCTGTGAATATCATCAGATCTTGTCTGATTTGAGCGTCTAGAGTTTCAATATTGTATTTCTATATTTAATTTCTGCTTTAAAAAAACAACAATGGCGAGCAATTTGATAGTTTTGTTAAGTTGTTGTAAAACTTAAAATATAAATTAAAAAAAGTATTATTTGATTAATAACATGATCAAGGGGAAGTCATGTTGTACAAAAAACTACATGAAAGCTTTTTGCACACTTAATCTTTATATTTAATTAAAAATATTATTTTAAACTTTATTTTATTAATCAACCAGGGTTTTTGATAATTGTCTAAATGCTGTTTCAGATTATCTTCCTAGGGAGGCAAAGGTCACCATAGTCAACCGTTTTCTATCATTTAGACATCTCAGGCGTTTAAGTTTTCAGAAGGATTTAAACAGAAATAAACACTTGAACACTTCCAATTTAGCTAAAGCAAGCTAATGAAATGAGGACAAGATTTTCTCGTTGTGTTGTCATTTTATATTATTAGAGTTGTAAAATATGTCCTTTGTACAGAACAAGCTGTAGATTAGATAAGATTCAGATCATGTTGCTGCGTCAAAACACTGTTTACTCATAACAGTCACACACACACACACACTTTCACCTGGGTTAATTGAGCTACTTTCCACCATCATCTACTTTCCACTGTGACTGGCAGAGAATTTCGTAGATTGTTCACATTTCTATCAGGCTATATGTAAAAAGCTTTATTTCCAATTTTTTCAAGTATTTTTGTCTTTTCAAGTAAAAACTGTGCCTCTGAAAATGAAAAATCTCCTTGATCATATTCAAGAAAGAAGTTAAACACAAAATGACTAAGGCAAGGTTTAGTTTCTCTTAGTGTGGATGCTGGGTCTATAAAGGACTTTCTACAAAGAGGTTAGAAAGCAAGAATCAACCATCATTCAAAATAGAAACTTGAGCGCACCTCTTTCTTCTTGAGGATGAATTTCTTCTGCAGCACTTTGACGGCGTAGAATTTGCTGTCGGCTTTGAGCTTGGCGAGCAGGACCTGCATGAAGGTGTGTTGGTGAGAGGTTTGTTTAGTAAACAGCCTGAGCCACCATCTTGTCACCACATTTCATCAAACACAACACAGATATAGTATGTGATCTGTGGAAACAGATGATACTGGTACATCTGAGAAGAGCCATGAAACAAGGTCTGGCAATGACCCATGGCCAATACAAAACATTTAAATGTCATTATTCTGAAGGAAAGTAATTGAATATGTTTATTGTTTTCTTTAAATGGAACACATCTCTGGTGCTGTTCAATTTTCTAGTATTTTGATCATGATATTCTAACCTCAAGAGGCCTCAGTGGGTTAAGTAAAGTAAATGATTCATGAAGCAGGCAGCACATTCTGATCAGACAGGAGTCAGAGTCCTGTCTGCAAAGTCAGCAACAGCCCACTATCTCACACTGTCTAAGAAGGTCAACATGATACAATTGCTGCCATTAATAAGATCCCACTCAGGTAACTCATCATTTATATGACCCCCAATATTCATTTCTGCAACACGGACTATCATTTGACACAACAGCAGACTTGGTCTAGTTTAAACTGCTTTTACTGCAGGTGAATGTGTGACCTGAAGGAGTAGCAATAAAGAAAGAGCTGGAAGGAAAAACAACAATAAATAGATAGATAGATAAATAAGTAATTGTTCCAGTGTCACCTTTCCAAAGGTCCCTTTTCCAATGACAGCCAGGAAGTCAAAGTCAGTGGGCCTGGCACTGAGACAAGATAGAGAGAAGTCTGTTCAATTATGGACAAAAGTACATAACAACCTCTGACGCACTTTATTTGTAATGGCAGAAAAGTAGAAAAGCAAATGGTAGAAAAGCTAACAGCAAAAACAAATGATATTTGGTTTAAATGGTCTCTTTGTCCCTTTAGGAAAATGGTTTTCATAACAGAAAATGCAGATTCCAATACATTATTGTTATTCTCTGTGTAATTTTGACTGAATTCAGTCTCAACATCTTCTGAAAATGTCTCATCCAGGCAGCTGAAAATGTACTTTGAGCAGAGACAGTACGAGTGTATTTTAGCTAGATTTGTAGCAAAGCATCTTGTGCATGAAGACAAAGAGAAATCCATGCTTCATGAGAGCAGAGCTACTGACTGTGGGTTTGCTGAAGGTCCCAGGTTGACTTCATCATGAGAAGAGGAGGATGGAGACCGCAGCTGGAGGACAAATAAACACAAAACAAGTCAAAAAAAGAAAGACTAAAATAAATGTGTATTCACGATGAATACAAAGTTTAGACTTTTAAAGAACTTTGTATTGACACCCTAACACAAAGTTTAGATTTCAAAACAGTCCTGCAGAGAAAACCAAATGGTCACAAACACTATCCATTACACAGAAGTTGATCAGGGCCCCAAATAAGGAGAACATGAGAGGAGAAGGATTTTTTAATTTATTTAGCATTTAAATAATTTCAAAATGTCAAGAACTCACAAAAGGCGCCACCGCTTGTAGGTTAATTAATGCTCCGAAATGTAACATTTATTCACGTCATTTCTGACTTTATTCTCAAAATGCAATAAAGAAATGTACCCATATACCTGGGTAAGTGTTTTTAAGACAATTCATCTCCATTAAATGGTATCATGGGAACAGTAGCGCCGAAAGGGAAGCAATGTTAAGCCTGACGAGGATCTGAGTCACATTGCATGATCACTGTGGAGTTACAGAACTTTAGATAAAAAGATCTCCCTGTTAAAGATCATCCATTGGATATATGAATGCACTAAGATCTGCTTTAGGCAGTGGAGATTCTAAAGACATGAAATCAGGTTTGGATAAGCTACACAAACGCCCACATTCATCCCAGATGTCCTTAATGTATCGCTAATACAAATTTGCTCACAGACTAAAGAGGCTGCAGGCAGATGGCCTAAATGAAATGAAGTAAAATCGTCATGCAAACAAAAAAACACTCACATTACAGTTTGCCGTGGCCATTATCCATTCCACTCCCACTGATCCAGCATCAGTGTCTGACAGACCTGTGAGCAGAGATATTAAGGGTCATGAGGTGAGCAGAGGAGCCTTTAAACTGTTCTCATTTCACAGATGTCGTCTGGTGTGTGTGTGTGTGTGTGTGGCGTGCGTGCGTGTGTGTGTGTGCGTGTGTGTGTGTGTGTGTGTGTGTGTGTGTGTGTGTGTGTGTGTGTGTGTGTGTCCTAACCATCTGCTGACCTCAGTATGATAACATGAGGATCCAGAGGAGCTGGTACTTCTGGTTTGTAATGAACAAAATGCAAGAAGAACAGAATCACAATTGAAGGACATTGTACATGTGTTCTGTGTGTGTGTGTGTGTCTTGTGTGTGTGTGTGTGTGTGTGTGGTGTGTGTGTGTTGTGTGTGTGTTGTGTGTGGTGTGTGTGTGTGTGTGGGGGGGGGGGGGGGGGGGGGGAGGTGTACGTTTGTACACAGTAAATATTGTTGTGTTATTTACTTATTTGTTCAAACATACGGGACACAGACACAAAATCTCAATGATCCCAGTTGTCTTCCCTAAAGAGCTCCAAGCCGGCTCATTATGCATGAAGACTACAGAACCTTTGGATTGCTTTTTTTGCTGATTTCTAAAGTTGTGATAAATAGACATTTTGAAGACACACAGATTTACATGAACTTTACCATACTTTAGGAGAAAACACTCAAAGCAAGAAAATAAATCACTATGCGCAGGTAAATCTAGGGAACTAAATGTCACAGTTACTATACATTTCTGGAACAAAAAGCATTAGCTCACATCCAAACACTTAATTTCCTTGAACCAAAAACTGAGCTTCAACTATTTTTCTCTACAAAAAATCTACGTGTTATTGCTCTGATGTTCCCTTAGAAAATACAATATATTTGAGCAAGTTGTACTGATGTTTATGGCAGTTGACCCACATTAATATCTACATGAACCAAACAAGTGATTCACACTGCACAAGTAAGGTTACAGCCACTAAGGATGTTATGCTTTCCTAGATATTTCCGAACAGTTTTCAGAACACAAGAGCTGAATTTCCCATAGTCTTCCTCAATAATCTGGTGTCAGTGCCTAGTATTTTTGGGATTTGACCATTTTTATTAATTCTCGAGTAGTAACAAATATTTTGTATTCTTCCACTCCGAAGTGAATGTTTGTTAAATCAACTCCAAAATCTGACACACTGAATCTGACAAAACCAACTTTCCAACACTAACTTGGAACCTTAACAAAAGAACCATTATCAATAACACTTTCGCAAGAATATTCTAAAGGAAATAAATATTGCAGGAGACAAACCCACAGATTACACTTTAAACTGACTATTTGGCGCACCGCAGAAAATGTTTTCAAGAAAATAACAATTTATAGACATAAGATGATAAACAGAGACTTAAAGACCAATACAATGTGTCTAGACAGCCTGACCCCTGCATAGACTAAAAGCAGAGGTGTAAGTAGATTTACTTAAGCACTGTATTTATGTACAATTTTGAGATACTTGTACTTTATTTGAGTATTTTCATTTGATGCTACTTTGTACTTCTACTCCACTACAATGCATAGGTTAATTACAGATGAATACATATAATGAACACTTTAATAAGACTTTAGTTACACCTGGAGTAAAATCACAAGCTATTTAGAAAACAAAGGAAATACAATTATAGCTGCATATTTTGAAATGGGCCAATCTGCATTATAAGTACTTTTGTTAAGTATATTTATGCTTTTACTGTTATACTTGTACTTATAATTAGCATTATAATATTATAAGCTAATAACAAGTTGATTAGCTGAACAATAAAACTCAGATAAAGAGAGACGTGAGAATATTCAAGTTTCCTGTTATATCTCCAAAAATAGAAAATAAACACTTACTAATTGTATAATAATCAGTGTATAATCCAGATGACGTGTGAAACAGCGGAGTGTTCTCACCTGTGTGCAGAGGAAGAGTGCTGCTCCGTTCAGGACTCAGAGGACACTGAGCAGCGGAGTCAGGGTTTATTGTTTATGGTCATGAAGGAAGGTCGACTTCAACAGTGAATCATTAATTAACGAGGCGGAGAGGTGTGTACGCGTGTGTGCCCGCGCGCGTGTGCGCGTGTTGGAAAAGGAGAGAGTTGGTTGTCCAGACTTCAAAATGATTGTACTTCCGGATTCTGCTCTTCGCTTTCAAAATAAGACAATTAGCCAACACTGTTAAAAGGAACTTTATATTTTGTAGTTATCAATACAAACAAAAGTTAATTAAATGTTTTGTACAGAAATGTTACTGTAACTAATGTAGATTATTATTAGCACGACTGCTAATATTAAATATTATTAAAAAGTCTATGTATACACAAATATTGAATAAGATATAGTTTACAACCCACTCCTCTTACCAGCAGTTTCCAAGAAAAAAGTCGAGTTCATTAGAAGGCAGATTATTTTCCCCTCAAAAGAAATGGAAATGAATATGCAAAATGTTTTCATGTCAAGATTTTAACCGCTGTTTTAAGATATCTCCTAATTCACTGAATACATTCTCTGTGAAAGTAGCAATCTTGTATAACTTGGATTTTAAAATGTATAAGGCTCGATTTGATTTAAAGTCACTCTCAAAAGAAGTATGTTATACTACAAAGTATCCAACATAAGTAGTAAATATGTTGGACACTTTAGTGTCCAGCACTGCACACTTCCCAGTGCAGTTATGACATCAACAATTAAGAAGCAGCATGCAATTTAGCTTTTTGAAATGTGTTGCATTTTCCACTCCAGTATACTTTTATTTTGAAGGGAACACAGCAGGAGTCTCTGGCCTCCTGAGCATCCTCTCATGTTTGACACACTTACCACCCAACAATAATTTTGTATTTTCATAAGGTTTAGTGGGTCATCATGTTGTTTTTCTGTCCTCTGCGTTGGAACAAGAAGATAAGTGGTGAGAGCAGGAAGGGTGTGAGAGGATTTGTCACCACCACAGCCAACTGTTGACGACAATATGGTGAATAGGGGGATGTGATGTGAGCAAAGTAAGTTTATAGTCAATAGACCAACACACACACGCACCTGCACAAGAACAGGAAATGCAGTGTGTAAAAAAGACAAGAGGCTTTAATCAGACAAGACAGCTTTGGATGTTTATTAATTCATATGGACTGAATGACATTTGTGACCCAAGATTATCTTGACACGCACGCACGTGCACGTACACGCACACGCACACGCACACACACACACACACACACACACACATACACACAAACACACACACACACACACACACATACACACATACAAATCCCACCAGAGAGACACACAAAAAAGATTCCAAGAGCCCTTAAAACACTCTAGTAAAATTATTTTATCTCACAATGTTGTATTCATACATTTTGTTTTTTAAACCAATTCTGACATATAATGTAAACATTTTAGTGTTGTTGATTCCATCACATGTAAACTGCAGAGAGCTTCATGGACTAGATAAAAAATCCATGTTTATAGTGCCAAAATGTGTATTTGTGCACTCTCTAGTGACCAAGTGTGGGAACACCATTGTGTAAAATCCATTTGGGTTTCACAGTTGTGCTAAAAGGCCAATGCAAAATGTCCTTCTCATCTATTAAGACTTCCAAACTCTTGCATATATATATATAAAAACTCAAAACACTCTGTTCTTTGACTCAGATACTTTAAAATATTTTTAAATTACAGCTCCTGTATCACTTGAGTTTTCACATTAGCAGTGCGGTTAGAAAGTACAGTGTTGGATAAACTCAAATATCAAATACTTGAAAGAGTGGGAAACTTTAAGTGCTTTTCCGTCACAAACGTTAGTCTTTTCCCAACAGTGTCAACATAGCAGCTTTTTAATTTCATTTTCATTTTATTCTGTTATTGAATAATTTGATGAACAGAAAGAGCTGTAATATTTAACTCTCCCTAGTACAGTACTTTTGTCTTTACTTTTTTTATTGCACATAACATGAGGCTTGTAGGAGCCTCACTGACCAGCCTTGTCTACTGTCTTTTGTCTGCACCCCCCCCCCCCCCCCTCCCCCCACATCCACAGTCTTCTCTTTTCCCTTTTAGTTAACCAATGTTGTAAATCCAGTTGAGTCCGAATCTCGGTATGTCTTGTAAAAATTGTCATGTGTACTTTTTTATTTCCATAACGTGTCTGACAATGTTGGGGAGTTACTAGTTCCATGTAACAAGCATTATTTTATTATACTACAATAACTATAGTTGTTAGTTACTGTGAATCAAACAGTTACTAATCAACTAATCTGTTAGAAAAGTGACCAAATGTAATGAGTTACATTACCTGATGAAGGGTTTAAAAGAGACACTACTTTTTTTTGTTTAGGGTAAATAATCTGTAACCTATTACATGTAAAAAGTAATCTTCCCAACACTGCCTGTGTTAAGGCCTGCATCAATATGAGTGATTCTCATTCAGGAAGTAAAAGTACAAATATTACTGTAATGGATTTTCCTTTTTTTTCTTCTTCTAACCTCTCTCCTTTATTTCCTCTTTAACCCTGATCGCACCTCACCCCCCACCCCCCTCTCTCTGATGGGTACAGGACACCAAACACATGAAAAAAGGGGTCAGGGTCTTTTTTCCCTGTAACAGAATGAATTTGGCACATGATGATCCCAGGTCAGGTGAGGGCGGGATCACTTGAGTACCTCGTCTGTGCTCTTGAACATGAGGATGGCGTTGGAGATCTTGAGCGCGGGGCCTAGCTTGATGCTCATGATCTTCACAATGTCGGTCTGGGTTAGCAGCAGGAAGGCCTCGCCGTCAATCATCTGGGGGGGGGACACACACAACTGTCGTGATGCAACTCGAGATTACAGGTTAGGAAAAAACTTGAATTTGTTGGTCTTGTCCTCTGCTACTTGGGGTATCAGATGGATGGAGGACGTTTTGAGGAAGCTAAATAACGTTGTCTTAACTCTAACTGTTATCAAGATCAGTTGTTGGTCTGTGTCTGTCAGAAAAAAAGGTTGTGATGTATTTAATGTGAGGAGGAAAAGGTAGGAAATGAAATAAAGATCCCCTGCTGGAATTGAACTGGAAAGGATGCGGCTTCTGAGCATTTTTGGAAAACTTAATTAATTGTACTTAGTTAGAAACTGTTGCAAATACATCATCATTATGTTTTTAAAGCCAACAAAAAAAAAATGGTGACATACCATTCATCAGCAAAAAGGTAACAGACTGTTGGAACCTGACAATAAATACTGTATAGGCCCGTCTACATTTGGGCATGTGTCGAGCATAAAATGTGGTCTCACCTCTTCTTTGAAGAGACAAGCCTGTTCTTCACAGCCGATTAGATTCTGTACAAACATGAAGACCTGTGGCACAAACACATCAGATTTCAAATAATCAAACGAACCAACCATTTATAGATATATAAATATATGGGTAAGTGCCGAGGTTTTCTCACCTCTTCCACGCTCCATGCTGCCACCTGGCTGGCGTGAATGCCCTGAACGCCGGGCAGCAGCTTACAGTGCTGCTCCCAGCAGAGAGACAGAGTCCTGTCTGTCTGACCGCTCAGAGCGGACATGAACAGGGACGGGTACACGCCCTCCGAGGACAGGTCTGAGGACAAACATGCACACACAAACATTTGGCTTAATAATAACAGGTGTTTCTAATAATTGTACTGCCGTATAGCTACAGACGCCAAAGTTCACTATAGTTGAACCTGAATGTTTTATTCGCCCCTTGGCTCGGATATAATGAAAATAAACGTGATGTGAATTTTGCATATACTGTATGTGACCTTGCCCTGCCACAAGTTAAATGTGCCTTGAAGGCTTATAACCAAACGTTTGTTATCCGGCATTTTGCCATTGGATAATTTTCATGTCAAAGCGTTAAAATGAGTTAACGAAAACAAGACGGTGTTGTGCCTATGGACAGACATGAGTCAGCAGAGACATGATATCTTTCCACTGAAAGACATAATACGCTCCTTAAAGCAGGATAAGGCTACAGGTTTGACAGGCAACTCACTGTGGTAGTCTCTCTGCTGGTTCTTCCTGTATTTGGGAGGACGGCCAATCCTGAAAACAGAGGAAAAGATGAATGTGAGTCAAAACCAAACATGAATGCACGCACACGCACACACACGCACACACACACGCACACACACACACACACACACACACACACACACACACACACACACACACACACACACACACACACACACACAGAAACACACTTCCCAATGCTGCACACAGAGCCGCATACATTGGATGGGTTCCAGATAGTGTGGACATGAACTGCATACATACACACTCCTGGCGTTTCTGATGCACATTAGCTAATGTGGAAAGACGGCTGGGCTGAATTACCATTAAACCTAATGACTATTTGAGGATGAGAGGAAGAGCAGAGAGGAAGATGAGAGGCCAGGAACTGAGCATGGATGGATTCAGCAGGACTGATTCTCCCTATTTCCTTTTCATCCTATTAGTCTCTCGTCATAATAAATAGATCTCAGAGTATGGATGACATTTGTTTTTGTCTGAAATATTTGATGGTATTGATACTTTTAATTTAGCCAAGTAAGATACAAACTTACCATCTAAGTCTTAACTATGGTTGATCCATTGATCAATTGGTTTTAATTAAAGTGTTTAATGCCGTTCAAGCTTCTGTTTGAATTCAATATGACTCACTAATATCATTTTGTGAAACCTTGCAATACAGTGGTTTAAGTTTTAAACAATAAGCTTTACTACTAGCTTTCTACTCTACACTGTGGAAATGCATACACAACTTCAAAAACACGCACACAAAAATACACACTGGCAAAAGCACAGAGGAGACATAACAAGAGAGGCTAAAGAAAACAGAGTGCTATGAACTAAAAAGTTACACACACGCACACACAGTCCCAGTGTGGTTCAGTTTTTTTTTCTGTAAGCCGTTCTTTTTAGGTTGCTACAATACATTTGTTGCACCCCCTTCCACAGCAGTACATTGGGGCTGGCTGACCCCCATCTACTGTATATAATACACTGACTATGGATAACTACCTCATACAATCCCACTACAAAACATTCAAACTTTCCCTTTTTTCTACCAGTTTAATATTTACCTGTAGAATTTCTAGTCAAACAACTTTTTTGATGATTTGATGATTTGCTATAGCCAAATAGCCACCTATCAAATTCTTGCTTCTATACCTACCTGTTAGATTGTGGACTGTAAATTAGTCACATGTTAAATACCTACTTATATACTTATATAAATATATCAGTTTAAGAATGTGGGAGATAGTCAACTGTAATGTAAGTGCAAATGTCTAGTTTCTACAAGTTAACCTTACAGTTGGATTCTCTTCTCCCAGGTGGGGGAGTTGGACCAGCCAGACCTCAGTCACACGGCTGTTGCTATCGTCAGCGTTGTCACCGAGAGCACTACAAGTCCAGTTCATCCCAGGGCTGCAGGTACTGCTAATGTGGTGGAAGATGATTTTGTGATCAGGGATATCCCCAGGTTAGCAGATGCATTTCTATTGCTGTCTGGGTTGATGTACGCTTTAGATTTGGCTTACCCCAAGAAACTCATCAACTATTTCACCTTCATCCAGAAAGTGCGGATGGGTTTTGCACATATTATCTGTGTAATAACTTGATAGTTTATTGGTTAACACATTGTTGCTTAAAGCATTTTAATGAAACTGTTTACATTTCGTAGATTATATCTTGCCCACCAAATCGTCCTCCGTTGCTCCGTATCACTTTAAATAGTTAGCGAAGCCTGGAATATGTGCCTTTTACGATAAGAAATGGTTAATTATTGTATTATTATTGTGTAGGTACAAATGGGATAATCAGGCCGTATGTTTTACATTAAGCACTGAGATGCTCAGTACCTGATTCTCTCGCTGCTATGTGTTTAAGATACACACGATCACACTTGTATACGGTTGTGTCTAAAAGGTAACGGACAGTTTGCAAAACTCTTTGGATGAACAATTAAAGAAAGCATAAAAAAGCTGAAGTGTGAAATGTGTGTATTTGTTGAGTATGTTTTACTTGAATTAAAAAAAAAAAAATATTAGCTGATGAGTTATTTTCAAATATATTTTTTGAATTTTATATTATATTTAGCACACAGACTAGATAGAAGTGGACACACACACACACACACACACACACACACACACACACACACACACACACACACACACACACACACACACACACACACACACACACACACACACACACACACACACACACACACACACACACACACACACACACTCTTACCTGCCACGGTAATGGGTCTTCTTGGGTCTCTGGCTGAGGAAGAGGGTCCTCTTGCACTCAGAGTCTGACAGCTCGGCCTTCAGCCTGCCTTGGTTACGCTCAGCCAATGGGCAGCCGGATATGCAGTGATGGGCCGTGAAACGCCCCGTCACATGGCCCGAACCATCACAACCAGGAGTAGGACACTTCCTGTTTGAGTGCATTTTAAGAAGATGTTAGATTTCTTGATTTAACTGTGATGCGTATTTTGAATGGTTGGCCTGCTGAATAAAGTTTTAATTGACCTGGTGATAGAGTTGAGATCAGCTGACCTGTTGTGGAAGCTGTACTTGTTGGCTCTCGGGTGGCTGATGGGCTTACAGGGAACAGAGGAGGGGTAGGTGGACTGGCCTGTAATGGGGGGAAGATCCCTCATACCTGTACATTCAAAAATACACATTAAAAAACTAGTTCACAAACCCCCTTGCAATGCTGCAGTAGGTTCAAGGTTCAAGGGTTCAAGGTTCTTTATTGTCAAACTAACATAGCTACAGAGTAATTATGTCGTTGAAAATCTTAGGTCACAGGCTTCTCCAACAATGCAACACAATAATACAGATACGCAGACAATATTAAAGTAAGCAGACAATATTAAAGCAGTAAGGGAGATTATGCCAATTGCTACCAAGTGGTGGAAAGTTTAATGGGCCTATTTCTCAGCTAACATTTTGAGTTGTCACTCTAATACTTACTGATTAAAACCATCATGTATATATCAGCAACATATATGGAAACTAGTTTTATAAAATGGACATTGATGAGAGAAATGTAATGAATCAAACCAATTGCATGCAAACCAATGAAAAAGCAACAGAGTAAATAGTGGAATAGTGCAAACAGTAAAACAGTTGCAAAAAGGTTTAAAAGTTCAATAGTTTAGAAAACAAAGGTGTTCTAATTTGAATTAACATTTAAATGTACAATCTCTCCCCTTCCCCAGTTTAATTGTCATCAAAGACATCTTTTGATTACAACAAATGTATTTGTTCTTTAATTTAATGATAAACTTTGATTTGAGTTTTGAAGAAAATCAACTTGCAGTTTGGACTGAAGTGCAGGCTGCTCCCGTGCGGCTGCTGTGTTTTGGAGTCCCGCGGGGGAACTTTGAGCGGGTGATTGGTCGCCTCACACCAGCCTGCTGGGTGGATGTCGGGGTGATCTGAGTCCATCCACTCATCATAGACGTGACTCCAGCCATCATAATGGACCTGAAGTAGCATCAATATATACTCTGCATGAATAAACAGCTACAATTCCTATGATAGCTTCAGGGTTGGTTAAAGATGTACAGAATCACTTAATGGTAATATTTTAACCTTAGATATTAGTACTTATATATTTATAAATAAAAGCGCTCCATACAGAGTATTACCCTAATGCGATGAATCTCCACTTCCATCACTGACGCCACTCTGATCAGACCGGGGCTTCTCTTGTCCACGGCCTCCAGTTTCATCTGAGTCTGGAAGCTGTGGGCCGCACGCTGGAGAGGACGCGCAGAGGATGATGGGAACCAAACATGTCAAACATACATTCTATAAAGCATTGGAAACATAATTTCTACTATTTGATTTGCAGAATTGTATGCCTTTTGTTAGATATTTTACATCAGGGAGATTAAAGGAAATTAGGGGAGTTAGATGGGAAACTACATGTAGCAAAGATGTCATCTTTGAACAAGACTTCATTGCAAAACCAGTACCTTTACCTTGCAGGTTTCTGGTCTACCGCAGCCTCAATTGGTTAGCTGTGTTTTCTATATGATTTTGGTTATTTTGGCTATGCTGCTGTTATCCGCCGGGCCATACCACAGATCCACACTCCAGCTAAGTAGGACAGGATGGTTCGGATGTTTTGAAGTGAGGTGGTGTTACGTTGTTATCCAGAGTTAGTGTACTACAGATATGTGTCAGCATTTCATATCATTTTTTAATTGGATGAAAAAGAGTACATTTATCCTTAGTCCTCACCACTTTGAAGGCGTCTGCAGCCACCGCCTTGGACCCAGTCTCCTCCAGGTACTGAGACCAGATAAACCGGGCCTGGTCTGGGTAATCTGGTGCATCAGAAAATAAATTCACATCTGTACCTTAATAGAAACATATAAAATCATCCCTTAAGAGTCTTTCTATTTGTGCAAATGTTTGTTATTATTTTAAAGGCAATGCTTACTAGGGCTATACATTGAAGCCCCCAAATGAAGATATTTGAACTCAAAGCATTACATCATCAAGGCATTTTTACAAAAATGATTAAATATGAACATGATTGAATGAAAACAGTAAACACACTGGTCACCTTGGGGTGGTGTTAGTGGGAGGTCCCTCTCTTGGCACCAACCAATCGGGTGAATGTATGGACTGCTGGAATCACACCTGCATAGTTTGACTTGCTTTAGCAATTTCATAAAGTGTAATGTAATAATATAAAATATAGATATATCTTTAGCCCACACATCCTGTTTCTGTTTCTGAGGCTTACCAGTAGTCGTACGTGTCGTCCCAGTTGTCAAAGTGCACCAGGAAGCGGTCGTCCACCACGTCAGTGACGGTGGCTACGCAGATGAGGGAGGGGTTCATACGGTCCACTGCCTCCAGCTTCGTTCCTATCTCAAAACTGCTCTTCACATCAACCTAAACAGAGAGTAGAAAGGGCATATTGAAGTAGAGAGGGACAGAGCTGTGGACTTAAATTATGCACAAGTTGTTGACAAAGTTATTATTAATTTGACTGTATCTAAATGTGTTGAATCCACCAATAGTACGAGTGCCAGAAGGATACAGTTTGATGAATTGGGATTGAACGCTGGTAGAATTAAACATTAGCTAGCAGGAGGAAGTCAAGTCAACATGAACACAACTATCCTTTTCTATACAAGTTATATATTTTCTGAGAGACTATAACTGAAACATCGTTTTTTACTATATTTGCTTTTGATTGGAGCCAGAGTTTTCACGACCCTAAATCATTCTCACCTCATCCACTCATGCTTGTAGATAATGCTACTACCGTATATTATATAGTGGCAGTTACCCTCCCAAGACTGGCAAACAGCTCTTTGGGCGCCACTTGTGCTTTAGTCATTCTCAGGTAGTTGGCCCAGGTAAACTCCTCCTCTTTACAGCCTGCAGGAAAAACAGAGATACAGAGAAGATTAAAAAGACCCATGTTCGGTAAAGCATTCAATCATTGAGAGGAATATTTTGACATTTTCTCTTGTTGAGAAGTTAGAGGATGCTTATCTGATATATTTACGTTAAATATGATGCTACAGCCAGAAGATGGTTAACATAGCTTAGCATTTAGACAAAATGCACATACAATTAGACCTGTCAAAGTAACTGTTTTTGATTGACGATAAATTGTCCCATGAATAAATACAATAAACAATATATTTTCCATTTTAATACCATGATAATATGAGAGCAATGAATTTGGAGTGGAATATGAAAAGATGTGAGAACATGCGAAAAGTTCTTAATTTAATGAATGTAAACACAGGCAATATTAAGGTTAGCAAAAAGGATCATCTCAAAATATTCTACAATAGGTTGAAACTGCATAAGTGAAGCATGCTGTTTATTATTTTTAGGTTCTCTTTGTCCATTGGTCTTTTCAATATGTCGTGACCTCTGACCTTTGGGAGTGTGCAGTTTGTGTCCCGTGCTCTCACACCAGCCTGTGGGGTGGATGTCGGTGGAGTTGGCGTTCACCCAGAAGTCGTGGCAGTCGGAGTAGCCGTCAAAGTGAAGCCGCAGCCGGTAACCACAGACCTGCAAGAGGACACAACGCATGAGACCAAACAAACCAGCTGATCTCCACCTGCATGCAGAGCAGCCTGCCAGTGAATGACTGTTTATCATCCTCAATAATCAACAGGGCCATTAAGACGCATCGACCGTGATAATGGCCGTCTGGCTCACCTCGGCCACGGTGAGAACAAAGTACATGGACGGATGCTGCGGGTCGATTCCCTCCAGCTTCATCCCCTGCTTAAAACCGTTCTTCACTGTTGGCACTCTCTGTGTCTGGTCCCAGGAAGAAATAGACAGAGTATTTTAGTACACACCACGGGGATAAAATAAACTGAAAATAGAGGAGAGCGGGAAATTGGATCCGAACAACAAACAAAGAAAAGATGAGATTACAGAGTTTTATTTTAACATCGTTTTTTAAACGTTTTTTGAAATAAAATAACCTTCAAATGTACATAACTCAACCCCACTCTTTATCAGAATAAGAATGTATGTAATGTCCTTCGGCTGCATACATCTCTGTGTCCCAGATACATTTACATTTCTCATTTCCTTCCTTGACAATGTTGCACTATTTTTCCACTCAGGGCTATAGATCTGTCCCTGTGCTATAAATAGAGCTGCAGTGGTAGTAAAGAAAAGCAGTACAAATCATGGGCACAGTGGGTAAACCTGTGAGTACATGGCCAGAAACTGCAGTCTGAATATTAAACTCGAACATACAGTACCTCCTGGAAAAGGTTGTTGGGCGCCGCAACAGATTTGGTCTCCTCCAGATACTGAGCCCACGTCCACTGCTCTGTCTTACTGTCTCCAGCTTCAACAAAAACACAAATAAAGTCATTATTTGTTTATGAGAGCAAATGGAAAGAGGAAAAACATTGAATAAGAACACATGAAGGAAGTTGGTAAGTAGGAGGGAAGCAGCTAATGTTCCTACATGGAGGAATATAATTTAAGACAAGAGAGAAACGACATAAAGGTCAGGGAAGGACACGATACAAATTAAAGACATAAAGGGGCTGGATAACAGGATCATTTGTCACTATTGGAAAATTAAATGCAGCGTCTCGTTTAAAAAATACAACATGTCAGAGAGATATTCATTTAACTTGATGGAAAACTTAAAAATAGAAAGTCCTAATTTGTTATTGTCTTTGTATGGAATTACAGGTTGTCAGGAGTATGTTATTATGACTTGACTTGTCATTAAATCAGTTTTATAGTGAAGTAAAGCTATTGAGTTTATTAATTAAACATTTTTAACTTGCTTGACACTGCTGGTGGAACAAAATAATTTCGCAATTTGGGATAAACAAGGTGTCTGTCTGTCTATCTTCTATCTATCTATCTATCTATCTATCTATCTATCTATCTATCTATCTATCTATCTATCTATCTATCTATCTATCTATCCATCCATCCATCCATCCATCATCCATCCATCCATCCATCCATCCATCCATCCATCCATCCATCCATCCATCCATCCATCTATCTATCTATCTATCTATCCATCCATCCATCCATCCATCCATCCATCCATCCATCCATCCATCCATCCATCCATCCATCCATCCATCCATCCATCCATCCATCCATCCATCCATCCATCCATCCATCCATCCATCCATCCATCCATCCATCCATCCATCCATCCATCCATCCATCCATCCATCCATCCATCCATCCATCCATCCATCCATCCATCCATCCATCCATCCATCTATCCATCTATCTATCCATCTATCCATCTATCCATCTATCCATCTATCTATCTATCTATCTATCTATCTATCTATCTATCTATCTATCTATCTATCTATCTATCTATCTATCTATCTATCTATCTTATAGCAGACAACAACATTATAAACATACTTACAAATATACCCAATTCTATGCTACAGTATATACTCATAAATCCCCTGTCATTTCGTCTGCACATATATGGGATTAAGGATATCTTATATCTCTAAATTCTACATCTTAGCCAGGTCTGTTAGTAAGAGGGAGAGGAGGAAGTGAAACAAACAGAAGATGTGATGTGATATGAAAACTAGCCTTTTGGCTAATTCGAGTACTTTTACATGTTTTTAATATGTTGATTAATGTACACTGTCCCTTGTTTTAAATAAATAAATTCAATTCAATTCAATTCAATGTACCTTAACATAACTAAAGAAAAACAAGAAAGGATGACAAATTATAAAACAGACAAATAAGACATATATGAGTTCAACCTCCTCTGATGAGCCTGCAGTCTGCTTTAGAATCATCCGTCTTCTCATCCTAAGAAAAAGAAAAATTAAACGAAAGTCAAAAAGTAGAAAGAAAATACTGTCACTGAATTAAAGGAAACACATTACATTGTTATTAATTAAATGATTATTTTCCATGACCTTTATCAACCACATCACTTAAATCTGAGTCATATCTAGGTGTTAAATGTTAATAACAATGCAGTCCCACCGTGCCTTCGATGTCAGAGTCTTCCTCAGAGGGACTCAGGTACTCCTTCCTCTTCCTCTTCCTCATGGGCTTCAGGTGGTCGGGGTTAAGAGAGGAGACCCTCCCGCCTGCTGGCACCTTCTCCACCCCGAAACTCCTCCTGAGGTGAGGAGAAATAAAAAAGAGTGCTCGTTTCCACACACATCACCTGAGCGTAGCTGGTTTTCTGTTGTGATGATATTTGTGTCTGCCTCTCCGCTGCAGGACTGATGTTGCTTTATGGTTTTAGTGTTCCCTATTTGTCTCAAAATGTCTACTTCAGTGAGGGAAGATACACCATCAACCAAATAAATAATATGTCTACCAGGATAAAAATATAAGGGTGATAATTAATGCAGAGCTTTAGGAATGGGTCTTAAAACCCAGAACTGTGTATTTGTGCACTCGTGGTTTCCTTGTATTGAGGTCTGTGGCTTTTTGGTGAACACAAGATTCAGAGATTTTCATGTTTTGTTTTCAATTTAAAATACGTCAGTTAATACTCATGACACAGGTGAATTTTGAATTTTATTCGGGTTTTAAAAAGTTAGTTGCTTACAAGAGACTAAATGAGACTACAGAGGTTGCCGGGGCATTTACCGTCATGACGACGAACACATAGGAAACTTTTCTATTAAGTGGTAGTGGTGCCACTTTAAGTATCGTAACGTTTTTGTGCCACAAAGTTTGTTATTTGCAATAATACAAACTAAAGCCCCATTGGCTTTTTTTTCAAGGAAACCAGTGCAATGCTAACTTCCGGGTTGATTGCAATAACTCATTATCCCTGCAGCTATATATACACAATAGGAAATCTAAAAACAATAGGTTTAAAATCCAGGTTCAGGGAATCTAAAAAAGAAAGGGAACTTTCTGGGAAACTAAAAAAGATCTTGGGGAGGCTTTAATAGAAAGGTTTATTCATGTATTTTATACCTGTGTTATTCATGTTTATTTAATTATCTTAGCTTTTTAATGACTGTTTTTAAATGTCATTTATAACGTGTTTCCGCTGCCCTATTTCTTAATGCTCTTAATGTCTTTTATTTTTGTAAAGCACTTTTAATTGCCTTGTGTTGAAATGTGCCTTATAAATAAACTTGCCTTGCCTATACACAAATGATTAAAAGTGCCTGTGCACACACGTGTATACAGAGGTGCATGAGTGAGCATAGAGCAGAAGCAGCTGTTGCCATCATACTTGTCAGTGATTGGCTCTCTGCGCAGCTCCTCGGTGTAGCTCCTCTGAGCTCGGGGATCGTGGTTCTGATGTCCCAGTCCCACCTGGACCTCATGTTTGACCACCGGCACAAACCTCTCCGGCTCCACGGCTCCTCTCGCTGAGCCCACAGGAGCCAACACATCTGACAGATGAGAGTCAGACTGATTAGACAGGATAACTTATAAATACAAATGATTCAGTGTCTTGAACCTGCATGGGTACTGTAACACTTTTACAGTATTTCTGATCTATTACTGTTTTGACTATTTAAACCACTGAATGATTACTTTTAGGATTTTCTGTTGGATTTTTGATTTGACCAAACATGTAAGTGATGCCTGTGGTATTTTTATCATGAACCTGCAGCTGCACTCTTCACTCGGCTTGAGAAGCTCTGCTGCAGCTGATGTAATTATTGCTCAAGTGATGATTGAAAAGGGCACGCTGCAAAACACTTCAAATACAAGTGCATCCATGTATAGAAAAGCAACTCTCCTTAACTAGCATGACACCTGCAACACCAGCAAATACATGAAGATGTTTCACATCACTATCATACAAAAGCGTTACGGATCAAATGTGTGATTTAAAAAACGATGTGATACCTAAAAGCAGATAAAAAATGTATTTCAAGGTATATCATTTTCTGTTGGATGAGTAAATTGGCAGTATGAAACCATGACTCTACCTGGCCTTTCTGATGGAGCGGTTTCTGCGTCACAAGATCTCCCAGAAGTCCCGGCTGCTGGTTCGGTGCTGCTGGTCGTCCCCGGGCTGATCAGCGTGCTCAGGGTACCTACGTCACTCACACAGAACTACAACACACACACACACACACACACACACACACACACACACACACACACACACACACACACACACACACACACACACACACACACACACACACACACACACACACACACACACACACACACACACACACACACACACACACACACACACACCGTCAATATATCCCTCTGTTTAAAAAAAATGGTTGCTTCTTTATATCCATGACAAAGGATTAAAACAACAATGTTTTCGTAATTTATTCTTTACCACTAGTCAAAAAGTCAAATTGAACTCAATTAAGCAAAAATACAAACCAGAAAAAACAACATAAATCTTCAAATTTGACATTCAAACTTTGTAATTTCAGCAGATGAATGACTTTAGTCGTACATCAATTATCACAGATTTGTCTCTTTTTCCTGGCATTGCTGAAGTTGATGTGGTGAAAGGATATTTTTCAATAATGTAAGTTACTCAAACTGCTGTCAGAATAAGATGAATGAGATTTAAATGAGCCAACTGGATGATCTATAATGTTATTTTAGGAGAAGGCAAGCAAGTAACAAAAACATCTTGAAATCCTCTATAAAGAATAAAGGCACAAACTCGGGTTCACCTTGAGGTTGCTGCTTGGCAGGATGGCCATCCCCTCCTTCCACTCCAGGACGTGGACGATGCTACAAGCCCCGCCCACCTGTGCTGTCAGGGTGGTCGTCTCATTGGCCCGGCCTCCTTTACCTGCGTCTCCAACGGATATGGCTGGAGTCACATCCAGCTTCTGATGGCCGGCAGCAGGAGCTAAACAGAGAGTTGCATTCACACTTAATAATGTATCTGATCTCACGCAAGACAGCACAATTCATTTACCACGTCATGTTTTCATTTTGTTGCATCATTTGGTTTGGTTCAAAACTGAGTTAGGTTGACATGTTAGCCTGTGTTACCAGAGACTAGGTTTTATTCAGCACTCTACACACTATCATTTAAGAATCCTCCATAGATTTAAAATGTTACATGTACAGCAGCTTCCCTAAGACCTGGGGACGGATAATCAGCGGAGTCCCCTTTAAGTCCATGTTTCCATACTTTGTTGCCATGACAATCTGCTAAATAGTATTTGTGTTTACATTATGCAGAAAGACATGTCACCTCTGGATCAATAAAGGCTTCTCATATCTTGCATCTGACTCAGAGCATTTGAAAGATGGTACATCATTTTTAAAACATGATTTAATATTGACACTGAGTTACAGTTCAGCTACCAATGCACCCTGAAGCTTATGCTCTCTTTTGAGTGTGATCATCATCAGTTTAAAGAGGTCAGAGGTCAGTGTTGATGTACTTGATAATACGGTAGAACTCTGAGTTAAAGGATAGTCTCTGTAAACCCATGTGACCACACTGCCCCCCCATGTTCACCTGGGAGGAGGAAAGCTGTGGTGGTGTGGGTTTGGGGACGAGCCTTCTTGGCCACACCATCACTCCCACACACAAGGACGGCCTCGCTGGAGGACAAGGAGGCGGACGGGTCCAAAGGTGTGCGGTCAGGTTCTTTGGGTGGAGCCTCCATGTTCACTTTGGCACTCATCATGGCGTCGCTGTCCCTTACTCCGGAGCGCTGCAGGGCAGAGGAGGTTTTCATCAATACAAAGACTGACAAGATAACACGTTTTCCATATCTGAATTAAAAGTGTTGTATGTCTAAGGTTGTCTCATGTAAAGTGGTAATTTTTGCTTATATAAAAAAAAGTTATAATAGAACCTCTGTCCTTCCGCCTTCCAGAGGTGGAATTTAACATGTACTCCAATACTGTACTTAAGTACAATGTTGAGGTACTTTTTATTAAAGCCGTTTATTTTAATGTGACTTTGCACTTCTCATCTACTTCCTTTCAATGGACAAATATTGTTTGTTTTAAATTCCACTTAAGTTATCTGAGAGATTGATTTGCTTTACATATTAAGATTTGAGCACAGCAACAACAAGTTTGACCATAATAAGAAACTGTTTTTGTTGTGTTCATTTTTCATACAAAAATATTTAGTTTCAACTTCTCAAAGTGCAGAAGAAAGTTTTTGGAATGTTTTATTTTAAATAATTTCAATGTTGCACTGTTTGGACAAAACACACAAATATCTAATGATATAATATATAAATAAAGTTATATTGGACCTTTTTTTGGCTCTGGCTACCTTTACTTTTGATACTAATTGCTTTAGTAAGATTTAAAATTATAGTCCACTTTGATATATTTCTCATCATAGTAAAATACAAGGCTATTTCTATAAACGTTTTTCTCTCCAATTTCTTCCTTTAAATATTTGAGACAGATGGAATCAAATTTACAAAAGGTAAACAAAAAATACTTTTTATTAGAATTATTTATAACTTAAAATAAATAAGAAACTTTTAAGGGTGGCTTTTACAGATAATGGCTGAGCAAAGCCTTCCTCCAGGAATAGCCTGACCCGTTGTGACTTTAACAGCCATCGATTATACCACCACCAATTTAAAAAAAGCATTAATGGTGACTCACAAATGTTTACACAAAAGCTTATAAGTCCACACACTCAAAACATGCACATTTCAGTTAAAATGGCGGAGGGAAAAGAAAAACCATGAGTACAAAAAAATGTATAAAAGCAGCAGTGTCTAAAATCCTGTGAAAATCCCATTTAGTGAAAAATGAACCTTGTCTCCCATTCCGGCTGCATCTCCAATGAATGAGCAACATTCCCTCTCACAACAACGACAAGCATACTACACATCGCATTTAATATCGGTTAGATTGCTTTTATCATTTAAAAGTATTTAACACGATAGGTTAATTAAACGCGCGGCACTATCACGTATATATATTTTAAGATGGAAAGCTTTGTGGTTGACGCCAAAACGCTTTACCTCAACAAAAAAACATATTTACACTTGTCCCTTTCAAACGTATGTGGTGTAAATACGCTGGTACCTGGCACTATTTGAGGAACACTGTAAATGCGATATAAATTGGTGTTTGCAGATCATTTCGGAACTGAAATTTGGCTTACCAGCTATGATCTCCTGCGGCTCCGGGGCTGCGACTGCGCATGCGTGGGCCCCCCAGTACAGTCACCGCTCGCTGGATATAATGTAACGCCAAAAGACTTCGATATGTGCAAATAATGTAGTGGACTATCGATTAGTCTGGAGAGCTGTCTCTTTTAATTAATTTAATTTTTACTTCCTATTTAACATCTGCACTACATTGATTCTGTTTATTTCCCTAGAAAAGTCTACCCTTTAATGAAAGAGTATTCATTATATAATTAGCAGGATATAGGTCATGTCGATACTGCAGTCAAGGTTTCTGTAATACTGACAAAGACACAAAACACGGCAAGTTTTTCTCATTAAGAACTTTATTTGATCATACAATAAAAAGGGCATTTTCCCATAAAGTCTGTGAAAAAAAACGTGAATCTTATTCCACAAGATGAAGAAGGGGATGCATTTAGTAAATATGATGGTGTTAGTATAAACCCACAAACAAATCCTCCCGAGACTTGAAGGATGTACCTCACCAAGAACTCCAGTTCAAGTTTTGCACAATTGTCGGTGGCTTAAAAAACAAAAAAAACCTTAACCCCCCACATTCTCGAAATTGACTTTTTTCAGGGCTGCAAATGAGCAAAGCGTATTAAATCGAACAGTGCATTTGATGCCTTGAACTTTAGGCAAACTGAAAAAGGTTCTTAGTGTACCTGCTCAGGGTTACAACAAATCCAAACATTGGTAGCAACGGAGAGGAAGAAATCCGGTTTTGATGCAGATTAAACAGTCTATGAAAAAGAGGTTAGAAGGGGATCGTAATAGGCCACCGACAATGCAAGTTGTTTAAACATGAAATACAAACCCCTCATGATTCTTTGTACATTTGCAGTTCAAGTTGCATCCCAGTTGTGCATTTTAGAGTGCCGCAAGACAACACAAAGATTAGAGATTCCTTGAGAAAGCAATTGAGAATGCAGCTCAGAAAAAAGTAACTGCATCAATGCTGTAGTCAAGCGCTACTTTTTCTCCCACAACCATGCAGTTCGAATTAATATGAAACGAAACTATTGCAACAAACAATGCCTGCTGGATGCGCCAACAATGCTATTAAATTAACTGGTCTACCAAACAAAAAAGCTCTGTTGCAAACTAAGATGCATGATCAATGTTTTAAATACAATGCATAAGACATTTTTGCCAAACTCTAAAAAGTTCTCTTTGAAACAAAAATATATTTTACCAACCAAGATCAAATGTTTGGGACTTGCACCATATTAGGTTTCTGATATATATATATATATATATATATATATATATATATATGAAGACTAGCACTTCAGCTTTTGTTAAAGAAAAGGGGGGGAGAACCATTTGTGAGGCAAACCATTCATGATTGCAAAAGGATAACGCCACCACTGTGGTGCATGCTCTAATAAAACATGTTAAGGACAAGTGCAAACTTGAAGGAGAAAAGTAGACAAGCCAGGAAGCATAAGCCATTATGACGACACTGCTCATTATGTACAACATAGGGATGAGGCTTGACAATAAGAGAATCATCTCCCTCTTCTTTTTCCACTAATCCTGAGAAGCCGATCTAGAACGGGAGCGAGACCTTGAGAGGGACGGAGAGCTCTTCTCCTTGGACTTGGATCTGCGGTCGTCCTCGTGTGGGGTTGGGGAGCGGGAGGCAGATTTGGCAACATGCTCATCCTTCCCGTTCTCCAGTGGGGAGGCGGAACGACAGCGGGACTTCTTGTCCACAGACATCTCCTTGGACGGGCTGCGAGAACCTCGCTCCGACTTTACCTTTGAACGACTCTTTGAGCGAGATTTGGATTTTCGCTCAGCAGAACCGGACCGGGATTTGCGGGAGTTAGAACGTGATTTGGATTTGCGAGAACGGGACCTGCGGTTGCGAGATCGGGATTTGCTTTCTCCCGACTTGGAGCGAGACTTCCTTCCAGACCTGGAGCGGGACTGGCCACGTCTCTTGTTGCTACGGGAACCAGACCTTAAAAAAACAATTTATTTTCAATTATTCCGACACCCAAAACATACCTTAACGCATTGTACACCCAACTAATTTATGTAAATACAACTACTATCATACTATTGAGAATGCTTTGACGTAATTTTTTAAGACCCATTCTTACCTCGAGCGGGATCTGGAGCTCTTGCTGTGGGAACGACGGCGACTACGAGACCTGAGGGTGAGATTGCAAAATCAAATAAAGAAGTACAGCCAATTTCTTCTGCAAAATGTTAGAGTTTTGTTTGAATATAAAAATATTTAGCATCACAGAGCTTATTTAGTGTTCCCACCTGGAGCGGCTGCCAGGGTCAGACCTGCGCTTATGCTGCCGGTCCGCCACCAGGTGAATCTTGCGCCCATTAATGTCTGTACCGTCCAGCTTGTCAATGGCCCTTTTCATATCCGAGTGGGACCGGAACTCGATTACACCCTCATTCGTGCGTTCCTTATGGGCATCTGCATACGTCACCTCTCCTGCCTGACGCATGAAGTCCTGTATGACACGGAAAACAAAGCAAGAATTAATCATCCTGAAATGTTCTTGGTCCAACAACTTGACAATTTACAGAACAGAGGAAAAACAATGATTTTAAAACATGTACCTTGAGGTCTTGCCAACTGCAGCGGCTGGACAAATTCTCCACAATGACACGGTACTCAGTACGGACAGGGGGTCCATACTTATCCCTTCCAGTGTGGCTCCGGCTGCTGTAACCACTACCTTTAAAAACAACAGCACATGAAAAAAGTAAGAGATCCAAGAAAAATGAGCAAGACACACAGAACTATTCGCCTGGGTTATCTAATGAACGCATGGCAGTGACTTGCTATATAAAAGTCCAAGGGGGTATACATTTGATCTTAATAAGGAGAGTCCCTCTGATCCCATTTTCAAACACAAAGCTTCAGATAAGTGATCTACGGGTCACATCACGGGCTCTTTGTATTGTTCAGCATTTTGATGTTTTTCGCTGCTGCAAAGAACACCACTGCATCTGTTTCCGGCAATACAAAGCCTGTCTTACTCCGGTATATCACACTGTGACGCTATAGCTGCTTTAACAAATGAACAGGCTCGATATTCTTTCAAGGCCTCCAACCCCTGTAACACAAACAGAATGGAGGTATCCACATAGGCTGTGGTCAAGGACACTGTTCGATCAAATTGAGAAAGAGCGGTGTAGAGAAACACGTACACCAATCTTTAGGTATTTGACCGGATGTTGGTCTGAAATTTAGTTTTCCGGTTTTCTAACTTACAATATCTCTTTTGATTGGAAGTTCTTTACTTGAGCCCCTCCACTTATGTTTGCTGTCAACATAAAAACCAATGGCAATCCTCACCATCACCCCTGGTCTATTGGCAAAAGGCTGATGTCATCATGGCTTCCGGTTAGGTCAGCCAAGGATCAAGGGGGGGCAAAGGTCACACACACATTGTAAGGTGAAAGCCAAGGCCAAACGGGACAGGCAGTCATCTTAGCCAGTCATCTTTAGCCTCAATGGACTCTCAGCCTCAGCCCGCAACTGGACTCTTTCAAATTGAAACATCAAGGACTTTTGTTAATGTTGAATATTAAAATAGTTAAAAATACACATTTCACAGGAAAATATGATTCTAGTCCTTATCATTGAGTTAAAAATACACTAGCTAGGTTTGTGATTAGCTTTTTTTAGTGGTGCAAACTAATTTGGAAATCCACACCTTCAAAAATAAAAAATAGCTCAACCAAATTATTATGATAAAAAAAGCCTTGCATTTAAGCTCTTATAGCTAATACCAACTTTAAAGCCTATGTTCGAAGGGCACTGACTTGCGTATTGTTGTTCCACCCAATAATGAAACCCAGACCATCAAAAGGTGGCCAATGATCACTGGGGAGGAGCAAAAACCGTTAGGTCACCAACCCTTGATGGTAGAAAATGAGCATTGTTCAGCAGGATGAGGCCGAACACACACAAACAATTCTAAGCAATAAGAATTCAGTTCAGGAACTTTTCCATGTGGGCAAACTGCCTCATAAGTTATAAAAATGAATAGAATAAGTATCACTATATATAATGTTGCAGCTACTTTTCAAGTTTGCATGAAATCTGAGCCATAATAACGTTTAGCCATGAATCATGAATCATGGATCACTGATCGTGACAGTGTACCTGGAAATCAAGAGTCTCCTGAAATAGTCAAACATGTGTGAGCTTATGTTGCAAGTGTACATTAGCAAAGTTATGCATTCACACGACAGCTGTCTGCGCAGTCCAGATCGACACCTCGTCCCAAGGGAAAGAGAGGGTATCTTGTAATAGACTGCACTTACTGGGCCCACCACCCCTGTAACCCCCACCGTGGCCGTCTCGGTCTCCGTCTCGGTCCCGGTCTCGGTCTCGCCGTGGTCCCCGGGCGTTTTCGATGATCACGCGCTCCCCGCACAGCTCCTTCCCGTTCAGCTCATACACGGCATCGTCAGCGTCCCGGTTATCATCAAACTCCACGAACCCATAGCTACAATGCAAAGACAGAGTTTAAATGATAAAAATCAAGTCAAAACAATGTAAAAAGCCACCCAGCTCTCTGGTTAGTGTTAGCTGCGCTAGCTAGCTCCGAACTGTAGCAAACAGAAACACGCCATGTTGGCCATGCGCCACCTGTCACACGAGCAAGTTAATAACATGAAATAACAACAACGCCTCCTCGTAATATTATAAGAAAAATAATAACTTTAACTTAACACCGATGCTGTTAAGGCGAACATGTCAGTGCGTCAAATATTTTGTTTTTGTTTCTTTCGCAGCACTGCCCCGCACTGGCCTCGTTAACATTAACGGTTAGCTCGAATGCTAGCTTGGAAATGTTAGCTAACACACTTTGTTTAAAAAAACTCACCCGTTTTTTAAATCAATTTCCATGAGCTTTCCATATCCGCTGAAGAATCTCTGAATGTCCTTTTCGCGTACATTATAGCTCAGTCTCCCGATATAAACACGAGGCATGGTGTCTCTCCTGACGCTGTTCT